ATTTTATTCACTGTTAGTCAGGTCTTCCCACATGCAGAAGATTAAATAAGGAATGAGGTGGTAAGAGTTGTAGGGTGTATAACGGACTGCACCACTTCACACTCCAGGTAGAATATATATATTTAATGCTGCCCTATATTGAAACACCTACCACGCTGGAAAACTAGTATGCAGGAAGAGGGCTAAGCTAGAACTCCTCTAACTGTGCTCATGTTGGGAATTTGACCACTTATTTGCAGGGGGGTTAATTTTAGGTTGGGATTGCAACCTAATTCATTATTTTTGAGCAGTAACTCTCCAGCAGCATGCTTATGAACACTCAGTTCACAGGATAACATTTTTGCAGGACTGCCTGTACAGCTGAGCCTTCAAAATCCTGCTGCATGAAAGGTTCTGGGTATCTGGGGTGCTACATTTACTGTGGCAAACAAACTATGTAAATGGCAATGCAGCGTTTGAGAATATAATTCTAGGAGCAGTTCCTCCTAAACAACGGGGGTTGGGGAAAGAGAGGAGGTGCCAAATCTCTTCAGAGAAGCCTTCCAGTGCCTCATTATATAAACGAGAAAGGAATGTCTCCACACGTTAAGTGTGATCCATGCGGCTACATATATGTCTACATAAAAGACACCACATCAGAATCAGCTCTTAGATATTGAGAAAGATAAGGAAATAACAGCTGATTTCTCATATGCTATTGTAAAAGCACTCTGCTATCCAGAAACGTCAAGCTGTTTTCCTTTCCCATGTGTTGAGTTGATAGGCAAGCTGATAGGCAAAACTTCAAGAATAATTAGAGAAAGTGAATGTGCAGATTCCACTGGGAAGAACCATCTTGCACAAATGTATTTAAATGAATTCATTGTCCTTCCCTTTTAGCAGGGATTGTGTATAAATACTTTTCAGGGATTTCTTTCATGACACCCAAGAATCACTGTGGCCTCTTTAAAAATAAATTACAGCGTGCATCAACAGGCACCACAGGAGGATTGATCTGTAAAATTAATTCAAAAACAGTCTCCTGTGTGTGTCTCCAGCTGTCACAAATGCACTGAAGATATGCCAAGCACATTTCAAAACACTTTTGTTGTAATTTGAAGATCTTGAGTAATTCTCTTCTCAAAGCAAACCTTTAATGGACCTGAAGTATTTCTACAAAGTAATATATTCTTTCACCTTCTCCTGAATATTTGGTGCTGCCTATGACACAAAAGATATTTATTCTGCCATAAAGACTTTCACCCATTCATCAGGATTGCTTGAGGAGATGTTTTGGTTTGTGGGAAATAATCAGCATATTTGAAAACCATAACCAAAAAAAACCCCTTAGGAATCATGAACGTGCTGTACTGGACTAGGTTATAAGACTGTCAGCTTCAATGGATGCTGCTTCAATGGAATCATCAGCCAAACCTTGTACACAACAGGGATTGAAAATAGCTTCCTTAGAGTAGTTTAAAAACTCAGGTGAAATATCTCTCTTCCCATCTTGAAAACTAAAGAGGTTTGTAACCTGAGGATCTTGAATAATTTCCCCCTCAAAGTAAACCTTTGAAACCTAAGCAACAACAGCACAAAGCAAACCTTTGAAACCTAAGCAACAATGGACCTGAGCAACATCAGTGGCCAACGATTTCCAACTACTTTCATATTAGCTTCTAAGAATCTGGGAATACTAACAAAATAACCTGCAAGTTGATATATTACTGTTTCAATTGCTATAGACCAGGGATTGCCAACCTGGCACCTGTGTGCACCATGGTGCCCTTGAATAAGGTATTTGGTGCCCTGGGTTTAAATGTAGTTTGGTTCAAAAGACTGTGTTGAGGGCCTCATTGTCAGCTATGACAGCATAAAAGTAAATGCAGATTATCTACAAGATGTTCTTCCTTTGCATATCTATATTTTTTATTCTGGAAAAGTCTTGACACCCAGGTGTCCATGGTTACACTTGCAAGAGTGCCACACAGACCAATACCTCCATGTCAGAAAGATATTTTTCTGAGACAGATTCTAGATACAGTTGTACCTTGGAAGTCGAACAGAATCCGTTCTGGAAGTCCACACCACTTCCAAAACGTTCAGAAACCAAAGTGCAGGTTCTGATTGACTGCATGAAGCTCCTGCAGCCAATCGGAAGCTGCGCAAGCCCCGTTGGATGTTCAGGTTCCAAAGAACATTCGCAAACCGGAACATTCACTTTGCAGTGTTCGGGAGCCAAAATGTCCAAGCAACAAAGCGTTCAGGATCCAAGGTACGACTGTATATCTTTTCTGACCAGTTATGTTTCTGCTCTGGTCTTTAAAAAACAAATGTGCCTGCATTTCTACTAAGTAATGAGTTTGATACGAGCTTCATCCCAGTCTAGTGCAGATGCATCATGTGGGCTGCTATTCAACCACAAGTGGATCACTTAAGATGATCAACAGGCACCTGTGATTTAGGACAGTTAGCCAAAGGCAAGAAATCAACAAACTGCACTGCCCACATAAGCCATACATTCAAAACATATTTCTTTGGTGAAAATAAATCTTGGTGTATGCCCCCAAATCAGGACTGAATCCATTAGAGCTTTCAGGGGTGGCCTGGTCCCGCTACCTGAGGTGAAATGGGAATTGTCACCTTCTGGCCTGCCGTGTCACACCCCTCTTCCACCACCACCACCCCACCCTTGCTCTCACTGAACTCTGCAGGAGCCGGGGTACTCCTTAAAGTATTGCTGCTTGCTCAGCTTTTCCACCCAAGGGCAGGGAAGACGAGTAGCAATGCCATACACTAATACACCAACCACCCTCTTGGCAGCAGCAGGTGTGCCACATCTTGCACTTCCATCGCCTGAGGCGGGCACTTTAGCCTGTGTCATGGGTGAGCCAGCTCTGCTTCCTACACACATCTGCTGGGAATTGCAGGTGAACAAACACAAACCCCTGTGTTGCAAAATGTAACAATCTGCAAAAATGCAAACGCAACACGCTGGCTAATAACTGTTAGTGTATATATAACTGGTTATGATGTCATTCAAAATATACAAATAAGCCACTTCAAAATGATGTATATATCATACAACACATCTCACAAAATATACAAGTAACTACAAGTTGTTATATATCTCAGAGTCAAACAAAGAATCAAACAAATCAATGAATAGTGAGGAATGCCAAGCCGACTCTCAAAGGAGGACGTCTCACAAAAGTCTCAAAGGAAGACGTCTCTCAGAAGTCTCAAGTGTATCCGGAATAGTTCAACTGTTTCAGAGCACTGATCCACTAGCATGATCCCCACTAGTATGAATATTATTCACTGATGAAGGCTTTATTCCAAAACAGTTGAACTATTCCGGATATACTGTCCTTTTGAGACTTCTAATTGCAGGTGGGCAGAGTGATGTGCTCATGTCTGGCCTGCAACCTTTCCACAGGCATCTGGTCAGCCACTGTGAGAACAGGATGCTGAACTAGGTGGGCCATCGATCTGATCTAGCAGGCTCTTATAAACTTTGTTGAAAGTACTCATGCTGGTTTGTGTTTTGATGAAAATAAAAAGCTGGTTTTCTTTTAAGCCAATATACAGGGAAGCTTATCAAATTCAAGCACTCGGATACATCAGGGAAAATCCAGACATACACAAAGGTGCTGCACATTCATTCCCTCAGACTAGAAAACAACATGCACAACCTGCTCCCCAGGCTGTCAATAAAGCGTAAGCATTGAGATCATGGCCTTTAGCCTTTCCTCATATGGAAGGTGCTGCAAACTAATGATCATCTCAATTCCCCCTTTCTGCAATATGTGGGAGCTGCATTTCCATAATAATTGTCTGAGAAGAGAAACAATTGCCTCATGGACCAGCCATATGGGACCCCCAGGATCTGGTTCTTGCCAATATGAGATCGAAGAAAAGAAAATGCTCTCTCTCTCTCTCTCTCTCTCTCTGTTGCCCCCTTGAACTAAAATGTAAAAAAACTGTCATTACCAGTGCTTCAATTGGGATAGTGCACTATTCCTCTATTTTCAGGCAAATATAATTGAATCTGAGCTAACTATCTCACTTCCTTTTTTGACCCACTTCCTTCAGAATCATCTCACTTATCCTTGCCCCCCCCATCCTCTCCAAGCAACGATCACTGCTACAACATTCAGATCTACCTTGTAACGTTACCAACTGACCCCAACAGTTACTTCTGCACCAGGAAGCCTCCTGTTCTCACCAAAACAATTCAGAGCCTTCAGAATGGGCCTGGTCTACACAGGCAACAAAACAACATCCCAGAGGTCAAAGCGACCTTCCCTCATGTGTTGAAATGACAGGGTGTGTCACAAGGATACACAAGCTAGACCCCCTCATCAGCTGCACCCTGTCCGTGCTCATCAGCTGCCCATTATGCGCACACAAACATTCCTGCTACTTTTGACTAGCCACTGCAGGTTATAGATGGCACCTTCCCTTTAAACTATCTCACTTCCCTTATGCATTCTGCAAAACAGCAGCAGCATAACAGTTTCATTTCATCTGTTCAAAGACAGTTTGTGGCTTCCTTAAAAAGAAGAAAAAACAGTACTTTTTAATGTTCCAGAGGTTCAGTGTCAAACTATCAAAGGTTTAAGAGAAGAAGATATTATTGTTGTGTGTGCATCGTTGCAGCTGCATTAAGTACCAAACCATATCCTAGTTGGCAAGTTCTTTTGTCGCCACCCTGTCTTTATCACTGACATAAACCCACTTGTATTTTGTATTTCCTGTAGCCCAAAATGGCACAAGCACAAGCTAGTATATAGCCAGGTGCTGCTGTGCATTTGTCTTAGCTTCCTATGACTGCCTTCCACCAACCCAACGTGAAGTCAGAGGAAGTGGTCTTCACTCTGAGAAAGCTCAAGAACCTCTCTCTTTCTACAGAAAGCTTGCTTCAGATTTTGCAGGCCTTTTTCTATGTGCAAGAGGTAACAGAGAGCATCCTACCAGGTATTTAAATACTTTTCTTTTTTTTAGCTGTTGCACGGACCATGGCTTCAAGCTTGAAGAATTTCATCCATTCCTTGGATCCAAACTCTCTCCCTCGGATCCTGCAAATCCAGTCTGGCTTTTATGATGAAGGTGAGGTTTGTTCTAAGAAAATATTTCTAGCTGGGTGTACGTAGTGGTGACTATGGTTTTAGCTCTGTGTCTGGAATGTATTCGAACAGCTAGGAGATGTAAGAGAATGACATTCAGCCATCATTAGCAAGTTCGCTTATAGTACATATTAAAGATAGATATAGAGAAGCAGCTGCAGAGGAGGCTGACCCTGTGCTGTAAGAACATGGTAAATAAGAATCAAATATAATACAGGGCAGGCTTTTGATGTAGCCAGCATTCATACATAAGCTATTAAGGTAGAGCAAACCAACCTTGGGGGCTCAGATGAGTGCAGATCTATTGCCACATCCCAAGGAATCTGGGCTCGTATCATTGGGGGGGGCAGGTATGTGATTCTGTTTACAGGTTTGCTGTTATAACTGATGAGCCTAAGGACTGGGTCCCGTGAAGGATACACAGGGCTTTGGGTCCTTTGGATCTAAAGCTTCTGCCGCCCCCCCCCCCAAAAAATCCTATTTCATGGCTTTCCACATGCTAGGAAAACTGGACACTCCATCATGGCATATCAAGAGTGCTGTTCTCTACTGGTGGAGGCAGCCAGAGAGAGACCTATGTGCCCTACTAAACTACCCCCCACCCCTAGCCATCAGCATCGGCCGGTGTGTGTGTTATAATTGCATTCAAATATTCCATGAAATGAGACATTAAGGTCACATCCACAACATACATTTAAAGCAGGATTGTACTACTTTAAAAGTCATGAAGAGAATCCTGGGCATTGTAGTTTGCTAATGGTGCTGACCTCACAACGGTACAGATTCCATCACCCCTAACCAACTACAGTGCCCAGGATTCTCTCCAGGAACTGTTAAAGTGCCATCATAGAGCTTCAGATATATGATGAAGATGAGCAATTGTCAGACAATTCATTAAGGCCCAGGTCCAAGAAAAGCAATGCACAAAAGAAATGGGAACCTCCAAAGGTGCTATGTATACAGTTCCCACGTCTGGATCTCTGCATTCAGTACTTGGAATAAAATGTGCATCCTTCAAAAGATCATTGGTATCATTAGGTTTTATAGCACTGATTATTGGGGTGGGAGAAGTGTCTAACAATGATAGTTTAGATCAAGGTTGCAACCCACAGTCTGAAGGCCATGCCTGCCCATCACAAGTGATATTTTGTAGGCCCCTGAGACCCCAACCAAATCTGTCGTTTTATGAAAATTGACTGCTCCCATGGGTCCCCTTCTGTGATGTCATGAAGCCAGATAAAAAGATACATTTCCTCCAAGACCCCACTAAATGCATCCCTTTTTTTGCCATGCCCACTTTTACATGTTGCCTTCCAAGTGTTGACGACGGATCAGAAAAGGTTAGCCACCCACAGTTTAGGCCATTCTGGGTTTTTCTATTTGATCTGTCTTATCTCTTCTTCTGCCTTCTCTTCTATTTCCCTGTCCTATGGATCACTGCAAGGCTTTCCACTCACAGTGTAGCAGCCAAGTCACCCATCTCGCTCACTGCCCCATCTCCCTCTTTCATGCACAAATGACACAAAATAGGAAGCAATTCTCAGAAGGATGGCCTGGAGACTAAGAATGGGTCTGCAGCAGGCCACATCAAACTGGTCGTGGGGAAGCAGCTATTCCACTTACATTTTTGTTCCCTTCACTGTGTCTATGCTTTCACCCACACCATTTAAATAAGGGAGCCGTTGGACGGGAGAGAGGCGGCAACCGCTTTGGCATTAAATTTTCATCAGTGCAACATTACTGTAATCTGTGTGCATGTGTGCCTCGCTCCAAAATTGCTTTTGGTGTCTTTATTATAGGGAAAGCATTTGGAGAACGATTGCTCACCAACTGTGGTCCTCCTTATCTGTGCAAAGTTGGAGATCACTGAGACAAAAAGAATAGAGGCTATGGAACCAACAGTGCTTTTTGCATCAAACTGAATGCACATATACAACACTATTGCGAGGAAACTAACATCATACCTTGTTCATTCCATATTGTATTTTAGTACTCACCATCGCTGACCGTAATGTTTTACAGAATGCTCTACTCAGAATACCACAAAACCACATCAGAATAAAAGGAAGGCCCCAGAAACTATATTTTCTAATGCAGTATAATTTCTCACTGTTCTATCTTGTTCGAAGCCCATGTTTGCTTCAGTTACTATGAACACTGACCATAAAATGTAGTGGTATGTTCTTTATTTTTAAAAAATCTGCGGAAATATTGTCCTCTGTGCAGTGTTGATGTTTAGCAGGTTAGTCTCTATCAAGATATGACCTCGTTTTCAAACACAGGTTAAAGCTTAATAGCATATGTTGAGGTTTATACTGTATTTTCATGTAAAGCATGAAGAGGCGGGGAAGCAACGAGATTCTCAAGAGAATTTTTCCATGCATTCCATGCCACTACCATACCCTCCAACACTTCTCTGGTGGAAATAGGGATGTCTGAAGGAAAGTGGGATATTCCAGGATCAAATCAGAAACAGGGATGACTTCTGTAAATATGGGACTGTCCCTGGAAAATAGAGACACTTGGAGGGTCTGCACGAGGGAATTTTAGACAATGTACATTATTTCACTCTTGAAGCATACGAGTAACATTTCTCCCCCCCATTCTACATTCTTCTATGATTTAAAATGGGGGGAGCAGGCTTTAAAGCTTGTCAGATCTGCTCTGTTTTCTTTCACTAGAACCCTCAAGATCTGCCAACCAGATAACCAGGTGCAAAAAAAGACATACAGTTAGAAACAAAGAGACACTTTCTGAGCCCCAGAATTTGTTTTCAGTGTTAGGCCTGAGCTATGCTCACCATCCTTCAACAGATGCAAAAACGGCTCTTGGTCTTCATTTCAGCAGCATAATACAGGAAACAAAACAAAGCCATTTTGTTATACAGTATCTGTTGTTGAACAATTAGGAGTCAGAAACCCTTGCCGATCTACTCTGCGAAGCACACACACAACTTCTAGTAGATCCCAACCTTCATTCTGCCCACCCATATTAAACAACACAGGAATGAGAGGGCCCAACTTGAAACTTGAAATCAAATCTTTATTAGGCATTATGCAAATAAAACCATAAAAGAGAAAATAACATGTAAAAGCCTTGAAATATATATAAAAAGGCAGCAGTTGGCTACATACATATATATATATATACATATAGAATCAGTGGTTTTCCTTGTTAACCTGCTCCTTGGAGGACTGCTACCAAAAACTCGGCTACCCCCGCCGTTACCCTTTGGTCAACGTCGGATAGGCAGAATCCCACACATTCACCTTGCTGGGGTTCCAGACCACCCAAAAGAGGGGACAGCACGCGTTGACGGAGCGTACTGTACAATGGGCAATGAAAGAGAATATGCTCTACAGTGTCCGGGACATTCATAGAGCATCTGCAGAATCTCTTGTTTCTAGGGATGTTTTGATATCTTCCCCAGACAAATGCTGAGGGAAAAACATTCAACCGGGCCAGCATAAAAGCCCTACGTTGGGCTGGGATTATTAATTTAGTGACGTAATTGGCTCTGCTATCTAAGATATTTAAATCATAGAATATGGGAGAGCAAATTTTGTTTACAGCTGCCATAATATTTTGTCTCTCGACATCCTTTAGTCTAGTTAGGATATTATGGAAAATGTATTGCTCATTAGAATTGTACAGGGGCTCCAGCTCGATGCCTAAAGATTCAATCTTTTTTTCGAGGTACTGATACCATCTTGATTTATAGGAGTCTTTGAGCAAATCAGCGAGCAGGCTTGATGGAGGGTAGCGAAAATGGCAGCGTAACCAGTACTTTATTGAGGTGGACCAGGCCCAGTATTCCATTGTGTGTATGCCTATTTCTGCACACATTGTTTCATATTTGATCACAGCTGGGAGTCCAAGAATACGTCTCAGAAAGCTGGAGTGAATCTTTTTTAAATCACTGTTATATGCTTGGACCCATAGCGGGATTCCATAGAGTATCTGGGCTTGCACTTTTGTTTGAAATATCTGATTGGCCGCAGGAATAAATTGATTACCTTTCTGATAATAAAAACGGGCAACTGCTGATGAGGGCCCAACAGACCTGGCCAAGAAACCTACTGTCCATTACTGTAGCCTGAGCGCCATTATAACTTTGTGGGAAAGAGAGAGGAGGAAGTAGGAGAAGCAACTATGAAAAGAGGCTTCTCAAATATAATAATTTGTTAGTTACTTTCTGATCAGCAACTGAACAAGGTATTTAACAATAAAAAAGTAAATATGATTAACATAAATTGAAACTCCGCTATATCTTCTCTTCCAGAATATTTTAGTAAATATTGACATTTAGCAGTCTAAGCACATAGTATGCTCATTGATTTTGTAGAGATTAGAGCACATGTTTCAGTATCTCTTCACTGAAGAAAGATGCCTTTTAAAAATATCAATACAAAAAATTTCCAGGAGGCAAGTAAATTTAATTTTCTGCTGGGTTAATTGAACCAGTGGCAGGGAAGCAAAAAAGTGTAATCTTTCCCTAGAGAAATGTAGAGCTGCCCAGAGCCATTTATTGAAATAATTCATATTACACATGCTGTGAACATGTAGACACAGCATTGGTAAAAATGGACTATATAAGATTATCTAATTCTTAAATTGGGCTTTAAACTTGGACATCATGTAATTTCACATGAAAGAGGAAGTGGCTTGCCCACAAAACCGTATCTATCTATCTATCTATCTATCTATCTATCTATCTATCTATCTATCATCTATCTATCTATCTATTTATCTATCTATCTATCTACACATACTCGCTAAGAAAATACAACAATATGAAGGTTTCCTAGGTGCATACACAGGGACAAAGAGCCAAAAAGCAGAGGCACATTTAGGGGCATGCGACTGGTTTAGTTGCACTGGATGCAGAGCCTTGGGAACAACGCAGGGGACTTCACAACTATTACTTGGAATGGAGCACGAGAGGCAGGGGGCACAAAATTTGAGACCCCAAGGTCTGTCATT